GTGTTCGGTTATTTGATATAAAAATGGTATCCACAACAACTCGGATCCTTATTAATTCTGAAATTGGACGCTTTTCTCAGTCTAATGTAAACTATGTCTGAGCTGTAAGACTCTACTGAGAGAATTGAGTTAAATCATGTTGAGGGGAGAGGGAGTGAGCGAAAGAAAGATAGACAGCGAGAACGGGAGATAGAGAGGGAGATAAAGAGGAATAGTTGAGAGAGTAGCGATAGAAAGTCGAAATAGAGAGAGAGAGAGAGAGAGACAGAGAGAGAGAGAGAGAGAGAGAGAGAAAGAGAGAGAGACAGAGAGAGAGAGAGAGAGAGAGAGAGAGAGAAATTGAGATTAAGAAATCCCCCAACACAAGATCGACTATTGATTAGAAAAAAAAGATGTTGGAGTTATCAATAATGTCCTTTGACCGACTTTTATCGTTGTTGACACAAAACAAATAATTACTTTAAACAAAATTTAACAATAGTATTATAACTTAATATTTCGTCATTGCATGGAAAACGTGTAGAACTGATTAAATATGGAGGAAAAGAACTACACACTCGATACATATACTTATAACTAAAATTGGGCAAGAAGAGAAAATCCCAACAGAATTGGAAACAGCATTAATAACCCCAATACACAAGAAAGGCTCCAGACTTCAGTGCACAAATTACAGAGGAATCTCTCTATTAAATGTTACATTCAAAATACTGACGAAGCTTATTGCCAAAAGACTACAACCTTACACTGAAGAAATACTATGTGATTACCAATGTGGATTCAGGCCTAACAGATCAACGACTGATCAGATTTTCACAATCAGATACCTTTTAGAGAAATGCCATGGCTATAATATACCAGTACATCAACTCTATGTGTACTATAAAATGGCCTATGACAGCATCAAAAGAAAATATCTATATGAGACTCTGCAGGAGTTTGGGATACTCAACAAACTGACAAGACTAATTCATGTTACACTTAACAACTCAAAAAGCAAAATGAAGATTCAAGGAGGATAATCAAGGGAATTTCAGATTAGACGAGGCCTAAGACAGGGAGACTCACTGTCTTGTATGCTTTTTTAACCTAGCATTAGAGAGAGTTATTAGAAACATACACATTGACACTCGAGGAACGATAACAGGATACTTTCTGAGGGAAACTCAAGACCCACAACCAACGGGCACACTCTACAACCAACCACTTCAGTATCTTGCATATGCTGATGACATAGCACTGCTAGGGAAAAGTATTCAAGACATACCAAAATCCTTTACTGAATTAGAAGACACATCAGTACAAGCAGGGCTGGAAATTAAAAACCAAAAAACAAAATACATGAGCATGATAAGAGAAAAACAAACAGATGAAGCAATTAAAATTAGAAACCAGATTTTTGAAAAAGTAAATCAATTCAAATACATAGGATCTTTTTTAAATGAAAGAAACGAATAACTAACAGAAATAAAAGAAAGCATATCAGCCGGAAACAGGGCATACTTCAGTAGTCAGAAAATACCCAAAAGTAAAAATATTACAAGAGAAACAAAGAAAATTATTTATAAAACTGTAATCGGAACAGTTGTAACATATGCACATGAAACTTGGACCATAACAAAAACGGCAGAAAACCTATTCAACACATGGGAGAGGAAAGTTCTCAGGAAATTATATGGACCAAAAAAGGATGAATATGGATGGAGAATAGGAACCAGCAATGAATCGTACAGTCTATATCAGAATCCCACGAAAGTAGCAGAAATAAAAAAAGGCAGGCTACACTGGGCAGGACACTTCGAGAGAATTCCAAATGACAGAGGAACAAAGAGGGTGCATCACCAATACCCCGAGGAAAAAGGCTCAAAGGCACACCTTAGATGGATGGATGATGTGGGAAAAGATCTACAACAGCTGAAAGTCCACGCATGGAAAAGAAAGGCATTAGTTAGTTAGGTCTGAGTGGAAGGAAGTGGTGAGGCCGGCCAAAGCCCTACATGGGCTGTAGCGCCACAGGGATGGATGGATGGTCTGAGTGGAAGGAAGTGGTGAGGCAGGCCAAAGCCCTACATGGGCTGTAGCGCCACAGGGATGGATGGATGGTCTGAGTGGAAGGAAGTGGTGAGGCAGGCCAAAGCCCTACATGGGCTGTAGCGCCACAGGGATGGATGGATGGTCTGAGTGGAAGGAAGTGGTGAGGCAGGCCAAAGCCCTACATGGGCTGTAGCGCCACAGGGATGGATGGATGGTCTGAGTGGAAGGAAGTGGTGAGGCAGGCCAAAGCCCTACATGGGCTGTAGCGCCACAGGGATGGTCTGAGTGGAAGGAAGTGGTGAGGCAGGCCAACGCCCTACATGGGCTGTTGCGCCACAGGGATGGATGGATGGTCTGAGTGGAAGGAAGTGGTGAGGCCGGCCAAAGCCCTACATGGGCTGTAGCGCCACAGGGATGGGCTGAGTGGAAGGAAGTGGTGAGGCAGGCCAAAGCCCTACATGGGCTGTAGCGCCACAGGGATGGATGGATGGTCTGAGTGGAAGGAAGTGGTGAGGCAGGCCAACGCCCTACATGGGCTGTAGCGCCACAGGGATGGATGGATGGTCTGAGTGGAAGGAAGTGGTGAGGCAGGCCAAAGCCCTACATGGGCTGTAGCGCCACAGCTATGGTCTGAGTGGAAGGAAGTGGTGAGGCAGGCCAACGCCCTACATGGGCTGTAGCGCCACAGGGATGGATGGATGGAAAACGTGTACCGCTCTGCAAACAACCCAGCTCGAGGTCACAATAACCGTTACAAGGAATCGTGTGAATACACAGCATTCCGACTTAGGTGTAAAGTTATCCGGGCTCATACGATTCTTTTTCTATTTTAATCGCATTTTACAATAATTTAAACAATTTATGACATTGATTTTACTCACGCTAAGATCCACACATATTTGAAATATTAATATATATGGTGCTCCGAGTTTTAGGTTTCCGCCCTATCTCAGCCTTTATCGGGAAGTATAAAATATTCATGATTTCAAAACCAATTTGAGCAAGAACGTTAATCAAATAAATCCAGAACAATTTCGTGCTTTCCACGTGCCGTGACTTAAGGCAAAGCCACTTAAAATGCATTTACCATAATATTTCTTTGGCGTAGTGAATATTAAAATGTTTCATCGACACTAATATTCCTGTAAAATCCTGTTTTTAAAGATGTTGTTTGATAGCATAGCACAATAAAAGCAAGCCATTTGTGTATTAACGGCAAGCAGGAAAATATTACGCTCAGTTCAAGCGATCAAATTTTCATCAAATTTTCGTCAAATGTCTTTTTGAGCGCATTGTTTTGTAACACAACATAGTACGTTGAAAAAGAAATTTGACGCAATTTTAGAGAAAATTTGATGGGAATTTGATCGTGTGAACCTAGCATTGGACATTCAGGGGATTGATCGCTTATGTCGAGTGGAACAAAATATTTTCTCTAAGATTTTCATTTACATTAACATAGTTTTTTGGAAACGTTTTCAAAATCTACAGCAGCGTTGTCAGTTCATGTTCCAGTTCCAGTTTCTAAAAAAAATCCATGAATAACATCTCAGTTGCGACAAAAATGATACATGTAGTATAATCTCAAATCTTGCATCTAGAACAAGGATGGGTTATGTTTTGAGATGATAAAAACCGGTGGTGTGGGATTACAGTATTGCAAATGGACCTTAAGCTGTTTTTAAAAAAAAAATATTTAGATTAATTGTGCTTTTATTTGTAGCTGGCTGACAAAAAAATTTCGGACGGCTAACTGACTCACTTTCCGTCAACCTATCAAGCTGAAACTTGGAACATACACTCGTTACGGATGACAACACATGCTTTCAAATTTTCAGCCCAGCCCCCAAAATCAGTTTGTCTTATTTTTCAAGGGGAACATCAAGGAACATTTCGGATAACTGCGACAAATGAGATTCTTAAAAAAAATATTGTAAGTGCGTTTGGTGCGTAATGTTTATTTTGCTTATTTTATTTTGCTTTTCTCAAATATTTGGTAAAATAAATCTGCGGTGTAGAAGCGGGTTGGCCATTCGAATGGTTCTATTGTTCAGGGTCGTGAAAAAAAGGTGTGATTGCGAGCCCGGGGGGGAGGGAGGAGGAGGATCACTCATTCGGATATGTAATGTTGACTACACCATAATACACGTATATATTCGATCTTAAATCCATTTCAAATGTTCTTTAGTAGCTTCTCTACAGCAATAAAAATGTAAAATGTGTTTAGCATAAATCATTAATTTTATATGAACATATTTGGCTTGTGGAACGAATCTTTGGAGTAGTTATAATGTCTTATGAAAGTTAGGGGAACGACTTATGCTCGCAATCCGGGGCTCTGTCATAACGGAAATAAAAAAAACCGTAACAAAACCCAAAGAGGCGTTGAACTGATGGCTGAAAAATCGAACTTGCAATTTATTTTCAAAGCGTGCGAACTTAGAAGCGTTTTTCTAACAAGTCAATTTAAACACATTTTATACTTTTGAGCTAAATGCTGGAAATGATCGAGGGAAACTAAATGATCCATTAGTCGCTGATCGATACCACATTAGACTGAAGGTGTGCAGGGAAAATGGATCTCACATGTTGACCATTAAAAACAACAAAACAACAACCCATTCTGATAGCTTAATCCCAAGGCCAGCGAAACCGGGTTATAGAACCATTGAACTTTTATTAAGTGGGTCTTAAGAATTTTTGTGTCCAGATACTTAGACGGATTTCTTTAGTAGTTCAAGAGACTTCTGAAAAGAATGCTATCCAGTGGCGTAAGAAGGGTGTTTATGTGTGTGGGGGGGGGGCAGTCCGTCACAGGCGGCTATTTTATTATTTTATTTTTTTGCATTGACGGGCGATAGTTTTGGCCCAACGCAGACGTTTTTTTTTTTTCGTGGAAGGAAGGCGGCAAAACCACGGCTACAGTAACCCCAACAACGCCACGGATGATGTGTATTGGGTCAAGGTTTTTTTTTTTTTGGACAGCCTATTTTATGTCAATAGATCAATGAATATCTTCGTATAGAGTTTTCATTAGAGTTTGTTCTTTTCTTTTGTTTTCTTTGTTGATTAGGCAGAGATTGCACTGTTTTGGAGAAAGTTTTCAGATATTTCGCTGCTGTTTTAAGTGTCGTATTTTATCATTGCATACGAGTTATGGAGTTTCTATGCAGCTTATTTCGACTAAAGTTTTACTTATACAGTAAGTTGAAATAACTTCAGACTATGCCAGCAAAGTTTATTAGCTATCAAATAACTTCAAACTATGTTAGTAAAGTCTATTAGCTAGCAAATAACTTCAAACTATGTTAGTAAACTCTTTTAGCTAGCAAATAACTTCACACTATAACAGATAAGTCTATAAGATATCAAATAACTTCAAACTATGTCAGATAAGTCTATAAGATATCAAATAACTCCAAACTAAGTTTGATAAGTCTATAAGATATCAAATAACTTCAAACTATGTCAGATAAGTCTTTAAGATGGCTAATAGCTTCAGACTATGTCAGATAAGTCTATAAGTTATCGAATCTTTAGCTAAAACATTTACAAACAACCAAAAAACCATATACTATAAAGTGTACGGGTATGTTTATTGACTTCAAATGTCCTAGGGTATGAAGTACACTATTTGTATAAGACATTGTCACAGTCAACTATTGGTTTACTTCTGATTATATAACACGTGTGGGTGTCTGTTTTTATAGTGACTTTTTTTGTGGAGACAAAAAATCTTTTGATTCTCCTGATTAAACAAACCAACAATAATTCATATTGTTTAAATATTCTGTTTCAGTTCTAGATCTATGTCACGGCTCCAGCCCGACTGACTTCAATCTGGTAAACTTTCCAAGAAACGGTGCGCTCAGAGTTGGTGCTCCCTGGCGGGAACGCTGCGTGACGTCATGTCTCGTGACGTGTCAGCTCAAGGACGCAGGATGCCGCAGCGCAATGTATGATCCTGAAAAGAAGATGTGTATACCAGGTAGTTGCCATTATTGCTGACCCGTACATTTGTCGTCCAGCGCTGGCTTTCGATTCATTATAGTGAAGTTTTTTTTTTTAAAGTTGAACAGGAAAATCCAAAACAAATTGGGACGTTTATCTTAACTTTTTGCTTTCTTTAACAATAAATATGTATTATAAGTTTTATTTTGGTTTAAATTTTGGTAATCTTCTGTTGTTTTAAAGAACGTTTATAAGAAAAACAACAACAAAAAAAACAACGACTCACTTAAAACTTTATTGGTCTCGTCTAAGATCTTAAAAGTACTCAGAGCTATTTCAGAGAACCTCCAAGCAGCTATAAAGAAGCAGGGCAATTCTTGTAATATTATTAAGCAAATTGTAATAAAATATTTAAATAAAAAATGTATGCCATTTAATCCATTACATCGAAAATGCTGATTTTTTTTTGGGCCATTTTTATCAAGGGTCTCAAGTCTCCTACGGTAACAATGAGGTTACTCCTTCATTTACGACTTTATTGTATGTTCAAGGAGAATGTAATCCCAATGAGGGATTTTTTCTCTATCCTCACAATTCCTTTGTGACCTGCCTGTTCCTATCAGCTGAGAAGATTAATTACGTAGATGCTAGAGAGAAGTGTCGCTGTGAGTGCATTTCTATTTCCAATCTAAGTCTTATTTTTCTTACTACGAAGCGAATTTTTTTAAGAGTGGCCAATAACTTTTCTTGACATTTATTGACAACTACTAAAATATTTCTAATAAAATACCCAAACAAATTTCCTTTACACTCCTTTTCTTATAAATGTCTTGACAGTAAAAGGGTCGCACCTCTACACCGCAAAAAGTCAGGTCAAGTTGGACTTATTTATCCATCTCGTTCTAAATGTATTTCGCGGACCCACCTGGATAGGACTTACAGACCTCGACCACGAAGGGACGTTTGTATGGGAAGATGGAGAAATGTTGAACAGATCAATGAAGGTTTGGGCAAAAAGTACGTGACTTTTGATTGGTGTGAGCATTCAGACATTTTTAAAGTAAAAAATAACATAGGTTTTGGACTATATATATATATTATGTGACCACATTCTGTCAACGTGGCCGCTCGAGTAGGTAACAATGTGAACGAAAGCACGCCTTATAAGAAAAATAAATACAGAGCAACGACCACAAATGATATCAAAGATGTAAACAACGACCTGTTAAACTGAACCCCATTACTGGGTACTGTCTGGTCAATGTTCAAAAGTTTATATACACAGAGTGCGTGCCTTAACCATTGAGGAAGCCAATAAATTTACGCACCTTTACTAACTATATCGCTACATAACAAACATAATGTGGTTCGTTTTATCTATTCTGAGACCTACACTTTGGATTTGAAGACCCTTATCAACTTTAATTAACTTGACGAAATTGCAAAGATATATTTTTTCATGAAAAAGATTATATTTATTTTTAGATTATTATAATTTTTTTTTACAAGGATTCAAGCATTTCTCGACACTAACTTTTTGTATTGTGCTCTAACGCCTCGACAGATCAGCCAGACAATTGGGACATTGAAAACTGTGCCGGTACCAACTACTACGTCAACTATAGCGCATTGAACGACCTGCCATGCTCGGATCAATATTCCTACATCTGTGAACCTTACAGCTGGCTTTAATGTTGACAAGAATATAAACTTAGGATGAGAATCTTTTTTGTTTTGTTTTTACCCCATTCACTATCAACGTGTGCCACAATTTAAGCTTTAGTCTACATTTCAGCTTCTTGGTTTGTTCAAATGGGTATTTAAAAAAAAAGGCCAACCATTTTTCTTCACCTGCACGGCTTTGATCATGATGAAATGGAAGCTGTGTTCTGTTTGATAGAATTACTGTTTTAAGCTATTAAAAAAATTAGAATTCTATTTTCCAGGCGTTTTCTTTTAAAGATAGTTTGAACAAGGTGATTATATAAGAGAAAATATGGACACAAAGAGAGTGTATAAAAGAAAATATGGACACAAAGATAGTACATAAGAGAAAATATGGACAGAAAGAGAGCATATAAGAGAAAATATGGACAGAAAGAGCGTATATAAGAGAAAATATGGACACAAAGAGAGTAAATAGAGAAAATATGGACAGAAAGAGAGCATATAAGAGAAAATATGGACATAAAGAGCGTATATAAGAGAAAATATGGACACAAAAAGAGTAAATAGAGAAAATATGGACACAAAGAGAGTATATAAGAGAAAATATTGACAGAAAGAGAGTATATAAGAGAAAATATAGTCGCAGAGAGTATAAAAGAGAGAATATGGACACAAAGAGAGTAATAAGAGAACATATGAACACAAAAGAAAGCACAAGAAAGTTTCATAATAGAATGTAGTTAAATACAAGAGAATGGAGCAACATGACCGGGTGGCGCTAGATCAGGTTGCCAAAATAGCAGGTTGCCACTGGATTACGTTGCTGAAATAGTATGTTGCCAATAGACCAGGTTACCAATATAGCATGTTGCCAAGAGATTAAGTTGCCATCAGATCAGGTTGACAACATAGCAGGTTGCCACTATATCAGGTAGCCAAATTAGACGATTGCCTTCAGACCAGCTTGCAAATATAGCAGGTAGCCACCAACTGAGGTTGCCAATATTGCAGGTGTCATCAAATCAGGTGGCGACTAGATCAAGTTGCCAAAATAGAAGGTTGCCACCATATGAGGTTGCAACCATAGCAGGTTGCCACCAGATCAGGTTGCCAACATAGCGGGTTAAAACGATACCAGGTTGCCAACAGCTGGTTGCTATCAGATAGAGACCGACCGAATCTTGGCTTCGGCTCTTGTTTCGGCCATTTGATTCCCTTCGGCCTAATTTCGGTTCCGGCCGAAACCTAAAAGTTCAATTTCGATTTAATTTCGGCTTCGGCCGAAAATGAAATGAAAACTTTTGGTTTCATTTCGGTTTCGGCCGAAAGTGACTGGGGTTTTCGGTCATCTACCAGAGGTCAGACTGTCTGTCTCTAGGCTGGCTATACGATATTCATCATTGCTCGACGTCTAGCGGTGTGGAAGAAAAACTAGTGGAATTGGTAATATTTTATATAATTATTTTTTATTTAATTTTTTCAAAAATAAAATTTTGAACCCTAGGTTTATTCAATTCCTTCATTTATGATATTCAATATGATTTATCATGATATGCTCAACAATGTTGTCATGGGCAAAGGTAAATAATACTGCATAATCCCAGGGAATGGTATTATTTCTCTTATTATTTTTGTTTTATTAAAAAAAATATAAGGAAACCAAGGCCTTTTCAATTCATTTATTTTTTTGAAATTCATCATTATCATGCTCATAAACATTGTTACTAACTAAATAACTGTGTGCATGCATTAATGGCTTGTATTATATTTGTTGGTAGGCCTACTGCAGATCTATTTACATTTATTTTTATGATATAGGCGACCTATTGAGATATCTTGCGGTTCTCCGTCGAGACCAGTCAAGAGAACTATTTTAAGAGACCCGTTTAAAAAAAAATAAATATCCCCCATCAAGAGAGGTGAGGGACGTTGGTCGAGGAACGAAATAATTATATCACTAGCACGGTAAGACTTATGTGTTAGTACTAGGCTAAATATTAATACAGGAATATCTTGCCAGCTATTTATGAAAACACAAAACATTAGTATGACGAAAACAGCGAAACATTGTGGTGATATTTCTATAGCCTTAATAACTGATATATAGGTGACGATTGGCTCTATTAGAGCCACAATAAATATTAAAAGTATATATTTTAGACTGTAATTATATTATAAAAGAAAAGGGCACACAAGGGTCTATGTTGCATGAATTTTACCCCCCCCCCCCCACACCCTTAAAAATTTTTTTTTTTCAACCACCTTTACAAAAAAAAAAAAACAATTNGCTGGTGGCCAATATAGCAGGGTGCCATCAGAGCTGGTGGCCAATATAGCAGGGTGCCATCAGAGCTGGTGGCCAATATAGCAGGGTGCCATCAGAGCTGGTGGCCAATATAGCAGGGTGCCATCAGAGCTGGTGGCCAATATAGCAGGGTGCCATCAGAGCTGGTGGCCAATATAGCAGGGTGCCATCAGAGCTGGTGGCCAATATAGCAGGGTGCCATCAGAGCTGGTGGCCAATATAGCAGGGTGCCATCAGAGCTGGTGGCCAATATAGCAGGGTGCCATCAGAGCTGGTGGCCAATATAGCAGGGTGCCATCAGAGCTGGTGGCCAATATAGCAGGGTGCCATCAGAGCTGGTGGCCAATATAGCAGGGTGCCATCAGAGCTGGTGGCCAATATAGCAGGGTGCCATCAGAGCTGGTGGCCAATATAGCAGGGTGCCATCAGAGCTGGTGGGCAATATAGCTGGGTTCTGCAATAACAGGGTGCAACTATATCAGGGTGCATCAATATCAGGGTGCAATCAGAGGATATTGCAAAAATCGGGCTGCCCCCAGATCATGTTGCCAGTAGAGTAGCTTTTCATCAGAGCAGGGTTCCATCAGAGCAGGATGCCATAAGCGCAGACTGCCATAAGAACAGGGTGTAATGAGAGATGAGTGCCATAAGAGCAGGGTGCCATAAGAACAGGGTGCAATGAGAGATGAGTGCCATAAAAGCAGGGTGCCATAAGAACAGGGTGCAATGAGAGATGAGGCCATTAAAACCGGGTGCCATAAGAACAGGGTGTAATGAGAGATGAGTGCCATAAGAGCAGGGTGCCATAAGAACAGGGTGCAATGAGAGATGAGTGCCATAAAAGCAGGGTGCCATAAGAGCAGGGTGTCATCAGAGAAAGTTGTTTCTCGCGCGCTCTCCCTCTCTCTCTCTCTCTCTCTTAGTCTCAGTGTATACTAATTAATATTCGGATAAATATATTACTCTATTTTATTGTTATTAAAATCCCTATTGCTCTAGGTCCATAATTCATGCCCAAGTCTGATTTATTTCTGTAACGTTATCATTTGTTTCCCATGTTAGTACATCTAACATTTTGTTTAATCCTTTACTTTTTAATTGTGATCACAAATGGGATCAACGAGATCAAGGCGAGAAGGTCTCAATTTACTTAACACTGGATCCTGCAGATCACTGAGTCTGTCCGTAACTATAAGAAGAATAAAGCATTATTTAAAATCCCCAGCGAAACAAAAATACGAAAAAAAAGGCAATTTTAACTATTTACTTCATAAAAAGCATATTTATTTTTTTTTACATTTGAAACATCTAAAGAGTAAACATGTCCTGAAAAACACGTGAATGCTATTACAAAGCCAGCATGCAAGTAAGAATTCTATGCTGCTGGGTGCTGTCTATGGCTAGACAGGGGTAGCTAGAACATGGGTGGACGAGGTCAACCTGTTTAGAAATTGTTGTCTCTAAATGTATAAGCTCTGGAGTTTGAAGATGTCAACTTTGAGCAGAGATGATTGTCGACGGTTCGAATAAAGCCACCTGTGCTGGACGTTGTGCTTGCTACTCATGATGCTGCTTTCAGTTAAAAAATTCACACTGAAACGTTGTTTCATAAAATGGCAACGTTGCCTGAAGTGGAAGAGTTCTAGAGAAGTTGTCATTATCTGGTGGTGTTATTTGCCTTTCGGTTAGTTTATTGGACAGTGTTGTAAAAAGTCTGACAAAAACATAATCAAAAGATGTTGCTGGAAAGATGAAGTGATCGTTTTTTTTTTGTTTTGTTTTTTGTTGAGTTGCCAAGGTTAAATGATCCAGACTCCAGGACATCTATTCGCAGCCCAACGAAACAGAATCAACATTTAATTCTGGGAATAATTAAAATGGTGATTATTAAAACTATGTTTACAATGTATAATGTACCTAAGTAAACATTTTTTTTTAAAAATGAAAAACAAAAAATCATCACCCTTGCAAAGAATAAGTGGAAGTGTCTAATATCTAGCGTTATTCCAAGTTGCAAAAATGTTACCTTCTTATGTTTTACTCTTTTTGACGCAACATATTTGATTGGTGTGAATTAACAGTAAAAGAAAGTTGGCATTTTTACACATCAATCAATTATGAAACATAGTCTACGCTCTTCTTTAAAGTCATTAATTTAAAGTTTTCCTTCTTAGTAGCAGCGAGGAATAACCAGGGGCGTAGCAAGGGTTAGGGCCGCCGGGCCAAACTTAATGCTGCCCCCTTCCAAGAAAATAACTCTGCAGTAGGCTGAAAATGCCGCCACGCCATATCAGGAAAAAGGTGCCGCCAGGGGCAGTGCACCACCGCCGCACCCCCTGTCCCAAACCACTCGGAGTCACCTTTTTATAATTGTTTACATAATAAGTTTAAGGATAACTTTGGATAAAATGCAGAACACATTAAAATGTAAACATGTCATTGTTGTCTGAAACAGGACAACATTAATTACAATACCTTTAAGTAGCACTGCACTGGCGTAGGAGGGGGGTGTGGAGGGGGCTGTGCGCCCCGGGGTGGCAAATTTTTTCTTTATATGAAGGGGCGGCATTTTCGGCCAACTGCAGACTTTTTTTTGTGGTAGGGGCTGGAAAAATCTTTGACTGCCAATTCAATTCGAAATTTATTTAGCTACGCCACTGTCTAGCAGAAACCGAATGCACTGTATAGAGCTTACGAGCTACACTAAAGAGAACCAGTAGATGATTGAAGATATATTCTACTCTTAAGCAAGAAAATCGGTTATCGAAAATGCTCCCAAATCTTGTGGACACTAAACGATAACTTCACAGACACACTAACTTCACATGTTATTGTAATGAATAGAAGTGAATATTTTCTAGTAAGAACGTAAGACGGAGAAAGATATAGATAGAAAAAAAACCGCGAGAGACAGAGAGAGAGAGAGAGAGAGTCAGAGAGATAGAGTGTGAAAAACAGAGAGAAAAAGATAGCGAAGGAGAGAAACAGAGAGAGAGAAAGAGAGACAGAGGGACACAGAGGAGAGACAGGAGAGAAACAGGAAGAGAGAAAGGGAGAGAGAGTCAGAGAGAGACTGGGAGAGAGAGCGAGACAGAGAGAGAAAGAGGAAGAGAGAGAGAGAGGGGGGAACGAGAGCGATTCAGAGAGAGAGGAATAAACATAGAAAGAGAGAGTGAGGAAGAGAGAGATAAAGAAAGATTTTCACAGCCAAACATTTCAATGGCTCCATCCTACGATTTGCACAACTCGAACTTGTTGACCAATTCCGGCCTGAAATCTTGAAATACCGCTTTCAGGATGAGAGGGACGAGTGTTTGTCTGTGGTCCACGTGATACGGGGGCTAAGGACTAAGGTCCAAGTTGACAGATGTAAAAAGCTGAGCTGGTACAATCGTAGTCATTGAGTCCTGCATACTTGACATAATCGTCCGTACCACAGCAGTCGTCGATTCCCAGGTTATTGTCAGGTTGACCTGGGATATTAGTAAAGAGTTTTTAATGCGTGTGTGAGTACATGGATGTATGGATGTATGGATATACGGATCTATGGACTTATGGATGTATGAATATATTTCCATATATGGATGTATAATTTATAGATGTATGGATATATGGATATATGGATATATGGATGTATGGATCTTTGGAATAATGGCTCTATGATGTATGTATGGATGTAACGATAACTCAAAATTAAACTAATATCACCGTTATAACTAGCATAATGGCATTAGGATGGTGTTAAAAGCTATAGAAAATCAAATGTTTAAAAGAAAGCAACAAATCTATTGCTTTGATCTTTGCCTAAATGTTCAACTTATGAATTAGTTAATTTTAGCTAAATAAATTTCATTACTTTGTTTTTATTCCTCTAGTCAAAGCTGCCACTCTGTCAGACATTACGTTTTCGTGAGTATTCAACATAATTGGAAAACGACAGCCAAATAATATACAAATAAAAGCATGGATTACCGCAGACCATCCAAATAAATCTACTTATTGTCAATTATCTGGACTGTACTTTAAACACTTAATTGCAATAAGATGATCCCATTTTGTGTACATAGAGAAACGGTAAAACACGTTGGTTCAGACAAAACGGTAATAGACATCAAGTGTGACAAGACGGTAAAACACGTTGGTTCAGACAAAACGGTAATAGACACCAAGTGTGACAAGACGGTAAAACACGTTGGTTCAGACAAAACGATAATAGACATCAAGTGTGACAAGACGGTAAAACACGTTGGTTCAGACAAAACGGTAATAGACATCAAGTGTGACAAGACGGTAAAACACGTTGGTTCTGACAAAACGGTAGTAGACACCAAGTGTGACAAGACGGTAAAACACGTTGGTTCTGACAAAACGGTAGTAGACACCAAGTGTGACAAGACGGTAAAACACGTTGGTTCTGACAAAACGGTAGTAGACACCAAGTGTGACAAGACGGCAAAACACGTTGGTTCAGACAAAACGGTAATAGACACCAAGTGTGACAAGACGGTAAAACTCGTTGGTTCAGACAAAACGGTAATAGACACCAAGTGTGACAAGACGGTAAAACACGTTGGTTCAGACAAAACGGTAGTAGACACCGGTTCTATGAACACTTCTAAAGCGTTGAGAGTATAAAAATGTGTTCGCCGTGTGAATGCTTCCTACCCACTGCCCATTTTATCGTTGACCCGTTGATTGGTTCTCCGTCCTCCCACACGAACGTCCCCTCCACGGCCCTATCCGTCAGTCCGATCCAGGTGTACTGCCTCTTGAGGACACCGGCGATGTAGAAAAACACGTCTAGTCTGGGGCGTGTCTTGGGCATAAACAACACAGCTCCCCTGGCTGAGTGGCGCCAACGATGAAATGAAAAAACAAAAAAAAAAACAAAGTAATAATGTAGTGGTCGGTAAAGATTTCCTTAATGAGATAGATAGAGAAGAAATACAACACTAAAGATCACCAGACAACAAGGAAAGCCTGAAAACGTGAACATTAAGTCCCCTTTTCCCCGGTTTTCCCCATAATTTGTTTGAGTTATTTACGTCGACTTAACCTGATTGCGGTCCGCTCTCCCTTAACATTTTATCAATGAGTTCCTGAAAGTAGGACCTGAGTGGTGAAAGCCGAACGCTCCACTTCCTCTCAAAAACTTGGTCAATAATTCCATCCCTGATGGTCATAGTATTGGTATTTATTTCGTGATTTTACTATTTATATTTGTGATGTATACATTTACAGTTAAACACTTTTTAGAACACGGCTGACTCTTAAATTATGATATTGACGATGAACGATTAAAATGTCACTAATAACTCATTAGTTCTTAATATCTTTCAGAAAATCAAATTATCAAAAAAAGTGACTGTTTAAAATCCCCAATTCTGTCAAAACGGTACAAGACATCAATCCTGAAAAAAAGTTAAAAAACAACATGTCTGACAAAGTTCTGTTCAATCCCCAACATAACCCAGGCAAGTTAAATCAACAGAATTCAAACTACGGAGATGGTGTCCCGGACGCATTAAGACAATGACTCAACTGCCGGTGCTGACTAGGGAACCAGCTTGCTCTCCTTATAAAAAGCCCAGGTCCAGATACTTCGTCACATTGCAAGGAACAAAAAACCGCATCGTACAATTGTATTTTTTCCTTTCACACATTGAGTTCGTAACGTGGAGAAAATCAAAAGCTGGCCAAAGAGGGCGAGTGGGATTTTATTTCTCTCGCCTCTAACTCAGTTATATTTCAAGAGCCTCTCGGATCTTATGGCTAAGGTTAGAATTAGAGACTGACTGAATTTCGGCTTCGGTTTCGGCCGAAATCAAAATATCACTTTCGGTCGGTCTCTAGTTAGAATCAAACACGAAGAGCGTTCACTTCCAAACAAATCAACGATATCAACGTATGTCAAGTAAAAAAAAGTGTTATTCATCTTTCCATTGAACTATAATAACAGCAAAGAACTCTATTCCCAAAAGGCATAAACTATTTTAGTAAAATTAGTGGAATCTCCAATAATTAAATAAACATTGCGTCATGTCAAGAATACATAATAAAATGATACGCCCTAAATCGTTCCCTAAATGGAAACCACACATGCAATCATGTATATTCAAGTGAAAATCAAGAAGGAGTAAAGAGTTTAAATCCTTGAATCCCACTTGCACTGTAGAAATTCATTATGAGTTCGTGACTGGATGCAATTCTGTAGGTAGGGTGGTTTCCCCTTTATATTTAGGGGCAGACAACTGCAGAGTTTTTTTCCGTGGGCCTTTGGGAGGCAACAATCTTGATAAACCCTTCGCGGCACAAAGCTTTGGTACGCCGCTAGTGGACGGTCAGGACATGCACCATATTACCCCGGCGACTTACGGCCACTCACCAATGCAATCAGCTCGGGCGTCCAGATACGGCACAGCTCCAGTCGAGTGATACAGACACTCAACGCCTTCGTTGTAGGAGTGCATAGCGAACCCCGGGTTGGTGGAGCAGTAGCCAGTGCTGTAGTACATGAGACCCACTGTGGACGGTTGTAGCTGTGTGAAGCCGATCATTAACCGTGAACCTACATGTGAGTAGTGAACCTACATGTGAGTATTGAATCTAAATGTGAGTAGTGAATCTAAACGTGAGTAGTGAGCCTACATGGGAGTAGTGAACCTACATGGGAGTAGTGAACCTACATGGGAGTAGTGAACCTACATGTGAGTAGTGAATCTGCATGTAAGTAGTGAACCTACATGGGAGTAGTGAGTTTAAATGTGAGTAGTGAACCTACATATGAGTAGTGAATCTAAATGTGAGTAGTGAACCTACATGGGAGTAGTGAATCTGCATGTAAGTTGTGAACCTACATGGGAATATTGAACCTTCACATGAGTAGTGAACCTAAATGGGAGTAGTGAACCTAAATGGGAGTAGTGAATTTGCATGTAAGTAGTGAACCTACATGGGAGTCGTATGGAAGAGGAATTATCATCAAGCTAATATTAGATATGTCTGGTAAACTAATATTGTGGTGGATTATTTTATTATGACGTCGGTGAATATGGGATTTGGGGGTATATATGTTTGCGTTCGCGTTTGTAAAAACTACATACACTCAAACACAAAGAGATCGATCGCGTGTGCGAGAGAAATAAGAGAGAGCAATCAGGGGCTATGCATAATTAACAATCTGCTACTTATTGTTTGACCTGGGGTGCATTCCTCCGAGACAGTGTTATACAGTACACTATGACAAGAATGTTGAAGCAACAGACACTTGATGACGCAAGATACGGCTGACTCAACCTTCCAGGAACTGCTCGTCTGTAAGGCCCCAGCCTGAGCGTCACCACGAAGGTACCAGGTGTCCAAGGCACAGCACATCTGTAGCGTTAGGGACATGGCTTGGACAAAGTATTCATACGACCGTTAACAAGTTTTTGCACAACTTAAAGTAATATTTCGTATGTATTATAAATCAACAGCGAATCCTTATCTAAACAAGCATGTATTCAAACAAAGAATTCCTAAAAAAATATAAATGTCTTTAAATATAATAAGAAATGTATAACACAAGGAAGGAGAGAGCCTGAAGTAAGATGAAACAAAGCAGGTAATTTTTATTTTGAAGAAATTCTTCAATAGCACAAAAAAAACCAAAAAAAAAACACAACTTGCAATAAAAAGACAACTTAGATTTAATTCATTCAGAGTAAGAAGAAGGAAGAATCATGCTGGACCCATCACAATAAATGAATTAATAAATAAACAAATAAACTAGGCAAATAGTTTATACAGAATGAAGGCCTTACCTCCGTAGTGTAAAGCAAGAACTTTCAAAAGCTGGAGATCACCGAACATTTCTGAGGTAGTGTTTGTCAAGTGTTCCGAGGCTGGCCAAGTTGTTTGAGCCTGTCCTAGTTGCCTGAGGCTGTCCTAGTTGTCTGAGCCTGTCCTAGTTGTCTGAGGCTGTCCTAGTTGTCTGAGCCTGTCCTAGTGGTCTGACGCTGCAAAAAATTGTCTGAGACCGTCCTAGTTGGCGGATGCTGTCCTAGTTTTCTGAAGCTGCCGAACTTGTCTGAGGCTGCCCAAGTTTTATTCTGAAAATCTGGTAAAAGATTTTTTAAATGAAACTGAATTCCAATACTGTTGACTGAGACTTATATCTTTAACAAATCAATCATTTCAAATTATGTAATGTGGTGTTGAATGTTCTACGTGCTGACGTTCAATGGGTTGCGTTGAATGTTCTACGTGCTGACGTTCGATATGGTCAGTCTGGCAGGAAACAAAACCAACTCTGTACTGTTATTCTGTTACTAGAAATAAACCGCCAAGCAACGACGAAAGCATGCATGAACGCTCCGTCTATTAAAGTTTTTTGACAGAACATGCATTCGTTCATGTAACGCTCTTGTGAGAGTTACGTACACTTAAATTTCATCATAGTTAATTTATCAGATTTAAATTGATTCGATTTCCGAAAAAAAAAAGACAACAGCTACAAAGAAAAAGGAAAACACAACTTACTCTAACTGATCTCGAGAATCCTAATTAGAAATAGGAATTCTATCTTGAGCTCAAATCTGAACACTGGTTGGTGCAGTTATTGGGAATTTTTATTCTGCTGGCCATTGAGCATACATTGCAGCCATACATTCATACCCGGAGAGTTGCGTGTTATGGTATTCTGTCATCACATCGTGCCATAACAAAAAAGATCTTTTGTTGCAAATTTATGTTAATAAAATAATTGAAATATTTTGTGAGATTATCTAGATGGATACAAGCTGTAAATTTAAACCATGATATGTACCTAATTATAGATCATGATATTATTTCTATTTGCAGTTATTTTAATCAGGAAATCTTTATGGTAATAATTTTAGAAACACTGATTCAGAGCATTTCATCTGCTTTTATTCTGAGTACATGTATTTCAAATTGTCCTTAAATTAATTTTAGGATAGTAATTTTAATGCGAGTCGCAATTTTCGTCTAACCTAAGGTAAGAGGAATGTTCTAAGCAATTCCATTAGATGAATAGGTAAAACTAGAAATTAAGCACATAACATGAATTATAATTAATTTTTTTTTTCAAAACGAGAAAACACATTGCAATTTCTTATCCACGGTCCACTTGTGTTGAGTGCTTATGATTAGTACTTATGTTGAGTACTTATGTTAAGTACTTTTGTCATTGGTCATTTGAGAGTATCATTGAACCTAGTGAACCATCTCCGTGTCCATGAAAATGAGATTGATCAGCAATGGATTTCATATAAATTGACCAGCCCACATCGATAAGAACGTGTTTAAGAGCTACATATTGTGTTGAATTAAAACAATAGGTTAGAGATGTAAGAAAAAAAATCAATCTATGCACAAAATCTTTATGTTCACTGTCATAGCAAAATTGAAACACTGTGTGTGCTGGCGTATTTCAGTACAAAAGAAATTCGTTTAAATGAACAATTTAAAAAAAAATTGGTTTATCTTATGAACTCGTAAAAAACAAAATGCTAAGGGATTTAATCTTGATAAAATTTCACAGGCTTAAACAAAAATGAACGGCTTCAAAGATAGGTTTTATACACAAATACAGCTGTAATAATTCTGTTATCTGATACATCAATAAATACAAACTAGCTGAAGTATCCGTTCTACGACCGGGTGTCGAGCATTTTTACTGGCACATATTAATACAGCCACGGCTGGCAATGAAGTTTAATTATTTGGCGAAAACTTCTTTGAGCAAACTCTGTGGTTTTCTTTCAATAGCGGTCAGTTGGTCAGTTCCGAAGAGTTGTATCTTGACTTGATCTTTATAAGGCAACATAAAGTTGTCCTTAACTGAATGCTGGAGATGGCAAATAAATACCAACTGAATTCAGTGTTAGCACTTGGCTTTTGTTGATGGAAACTGTTTTCATCTAAATGTCAAGTAAAGGCCAGGCTCACTGTTTGCAAGAATAACTCTTGGAATAAATATCGTGGTATCCTTTAAAAGATCCGGTCAGGATTTCCCAGTCAGTGACTTTTGACATCATTTGCTTGACGCAGCTTGCAAAGACCTCTTGTTTAGGTCAATGTGTAATGGAAACATTACTACTGGACCACCTTTCAAGTTAAGTCTGTGAGGAGGCACATCACCAGGTGTTAAGTTGTTCAAAAACTCCATTGATAGTTAGCTTCCACCTCGTAAAATGGACCAGGACACGCAACGCCGCTATTCGGACCCGGGTCCCTTCAGACTAAGTGCTCTTCGGATGCCATTTGTGGTAGTTAAGTTTAGTTAAACTGAAGAATCAAGCTTATAAACATAGAGTCCATTCAATTATCTTCCATTTATACCGAATTTTGTCTTACAAACCCTACAATAATATTTTAAATATTTTTTAATAAACCCAAACTCTCCCTTCTGATACAGGGTCCGAATAGCAGCAACAGCCTTTCAACTATTTATGTAATCTGAGATTAGATGTCCCTAACAACAACAGTGACATGAGATTATCATAGGAAACATTTGTTATCAAATTATCCTTCACGTATTTCAAGCTTGCTAATGTTTGTTCACACAGGTATGTGGTTACAAAGATTGAAAGGTACCTTGATGCAAAAGTTTTGAAATTAGAAAAGTCTTCCTTGGGCGAAAACTTTTAAAAAACCCACCAGTCTTTTAACTTGTCCCGAAGGAGGTCATTTGGTTGCAACTCAATGAACTCCAGCTTCAGTTCATCTGGGTAACTGGCCACATCTGCTTCAAATGGGTTTTGAAACAGTCTCACTTCTTCTGCCTTTGAATCCAAGTCAGAAAACCGCTGCTGAAACTGAAACTGCATGCAGCTGGGGTCTTTGATGATCTTGCATGCAAATGAAGTGGGGAACTCTGCTGTTGCTTCAGCCATGAAACCGTCCACTGCTGAAAGTGCGTCAAGTTGTTGGCCTGTACTTGTTTCAAAAACAAGAAGAACTGGGATCTGAAGGTATTTAGGTAGGTGTATAGATCAGAAAATAGATTTTCCTATACTTGTATTTTTAGGTTAAGAAAATTTAAATGACTAGTTATGTCTGCAGCAAGGTCAGTTTCCATACCCACTCTTCATCAGACAGTAATAACTGTGGCTTGCCTTTACTTTCCAGGAAGTTACCTATTTCCTTTCTTAACTTATTTACTCTCTCGGAACTTTCTCACAACTTAGCTGTCTTACTGCTGTGTAATATGGTAAATCTTGCGATTCCTTGTCTATATATTTCAAAAAGTCTCTCAAATATCTATAGTTGAGCCCGTGTGACCTTATTAAATTAACCCTCTTCACCAAAGGGATTCAAAAAAACAAAAGTTTTCAAAGGGATCCCCTGGGAGCCTTCGGCAACCTCAATTTATGCTCCTCCATTCCCCCACGCCAAAGAGTGTGACAGAACGTGGTTTAATATATGCTTGTGCTAAATGATTACCCTGGCGCATCTCACAACAGGATTGAATTCAGTTTATGCACGGCAATGGGCGCCAGAAT